AAACCATATATCAGGTTATTACAACAATGTCAGACCAGATGACAGGAGATATGAAGGATGAAATGCGAGCAATAACAAGAGAAAACCTTGATGAGATTACAGTCAATTCAGCAGACGATTTAACGACAGTAGTAGTGAGAGAATCAAAAAATGCAGTAAGTGAAGTAACACGTAAGAAGGAAAAGAAAGATGATGAAGCATGGTGGAAAGAAATTGATTTATCTTTTTTGAAAGGAGGAAAAGAAGGAATTACAAATAAATTTATAGAATTTGTGAGACCTCATATCCGAAGATGCGGTGACGACATCAATCAAAAAATCAGTAAAAAGCTACCTGAACACGCTAAAAGCAAACTTAGAGAGAAACTAGGATTTGGTTTTAAAAATCGTGATGTGACAGTAGTCAAAGATCGCGGAATTCACTTGCATGAAGGAGGATTTAAACATCTAATGGAAAAATTTCGTTGTGACGAAGGAGAAGATATCATCTCGAAAACTTTTGACAAAATTTTTCAAAGACTTCCGGAAAAACTTCAAGAAATGTTGGAACCGCACATTAAAGAATTTGAGGAAAAATTGTTGGAAACTCTGCACATAGAATTATATGAAAATATATTTAAAGAAGATAATTTCTTAGGGTCAATAAAATCTATGATAAATAGAGATAAAGATGGTGATGGGAAAAATGATTTTGTACAAGGGGTCTCGCACGCAGTGGAATCAATATTTCATCATCATCATCTTCATAAGCAACAATAATGTATACATTTTTTGATCACATGGGCAAAAATAAATAAAGAATACTTCATATGTTTCTTTTTTTACCAAGTTCAGGAAATAAAAATACTTTCCCGCTAGAAGATTAACTAGTGATCTGGGATCTTATAGGATTGTGTTAATCGATTGATTTAAATTTATGATCATATAGTGATAGCTTTTTATATTTCGATAAATATCAATCGTTACGAAAAGAATGTAAAGCAATATTTTTATATTATATACTGAATGTATATTCTATTTTGAACTTTGCGTACATTTATATATTTTATCTATTTCTCTTCAATTTGTATTTTTTGCATTAAAAAAAAAAAAATTTATTTTAAACAACCCAATATGAAATGTGAATACCAAATGAGCTTTTTTTAAAAAAAAGTAAAGTAATTATTAACTATGTACATATGTTGGTCCACGCATTGCCGGTGCATTGTAAGGATTTAAAGGATTAACAATAGGTGCTCTTTCCATGCCCGGTGGAACACCTTCTGAATACATCCCTGGTCTATCGTTCTTAAAGAAGAACTGTAGAGAAAATTGTTTGGAATCTGGATCCCAATGTGTGAAAAATTTTCCTTCTCCTTTATCAACTTCTTTACTTTGTACTTTAAATGAGATTGTTTCATATGGTTCTGCTGCAAAAAGCAAATATTGATGTGCTTTATTTGGCGGTTCAATCCTTTGCTCGTAAGCTGACATGAAACGGTGACGAGGTATGACATCCAATCCAATTTCTGGATATTGAATTTGAAATAATAATCCAAGTTGTCGAGTAATTGGATCGCGAACTTTGGTTACTTTATAACCAGGTCTCCCTATCTTTACCAAATTTTTTTTGACCTGAATTTTTGCCTGTGCTTGTAATGCTGGTTGAATATTATTATTTTCTTTGGCTTCTCTAGCTGCACGTCGCGCAAGATTCGTCTGATGTTTTTTTCCTTGAGTGTGAGCGAGGTAACTACCTTCATTAGTGTGTAAGGTCAAACATAATTTACATTCATAAGATCCGAGATGATTTTTCATAAAATACGGATCTTTGTTCAAGTCAATTGTTTCCAAAGCAAGTTTACGAAGTCGTTCACGTCGATCAACATTAGTCTCGGAGTAACCGGCCACACCGCCGCTACCCACCTTCGAACCTAACAATGAGCGTAGATGTTAAAAAAAAATTTGTTATAAACATGTAATCTAAATTTCAATATACCTGGTCTGTTCTGAAAATCCATTGACAAAAATTAAAGAGTGGTGTCAGTAACTGGTAAGCATGATAATAAGCTTTATATACCCCATGATTTATCTGTTATGTTACACGAAATATTATGTTTATATAATTACATATCTGATATATGCTATCTTATTAATTAAATTTATTGATTACTTCTTTATTAAATCGCTCAAAAACTTCATTAGCTGTTAGGAATATTAAAAAATAAAATAAAAGCGTCGCCAGAAATTTTTCCATTATTACAGTATTAGTTTTTGATTGGTTGGGTAAATCCCGGAGTTTTCCGAAAGTTCTATGTTAATCACGCGACTACGGAATCTGTATTATCAAAGAAAAAACCGAACTTATTGAATCACCTTAGGCTGAGATCATAATGCCAAATCAAAAACTACCCACTCAGATCTCCATTACATCTTTAAGATCTGGACAAGAGCGCATTATCGATTGCGATGGATTACCAGATAATTCGGAAGAAATTTGTAATATTTTGAAAGACGAAAACGCTCAAATGACGATTTACTTACGCTTCGCGGTTGGTTTATGTGATAGTTATAAAAGCGCGTCCCTTTCTTTGATTTCATTCTAATTTTATCAATTTTATGTATAGCTTTATTACAATATTAACAGAAAAAATCCAGATATTGCTGTCACAATTCTCAAAAAGGGTCTTTCTCATGGTATGCCTTCTCTCTCGTTTGTCAATTTTAAATATTGTATTCTAATTTTTTTTTTTTTTTTTATTTCTTTTTCAAAATATGATAGCACGTGGTTCCAACGATGAAAAGATCAAGTTAAATAATTTATTAGTTAGTTTATATTATAAATTGGGAAAAAATA